TTATAGTACAACCCTCTACGGACACCTTGGCAATTGAATCGCCATTGGCTAGTACATTTTTTTGTTTATTCGCCAGACTGAAATACTATACTAATATATATATATAAAAAAGTTATGCCATTTTACAAGCATATATGTTTGTAAAATGTTACAGCTTTTAAAATATCTGAAAGTACACTCTTAATATCAGTCAGTCAAGCATTATAATATGATAATCAAGTATTATTTAATAATAGAAGTTTAGTAATTAGAAATAAAACTTGGTAACCATGAACTTAGGACTGGTGCTGGTGCTTTTTTTGGTCATTCAGTGTTCCTGTAAAAGCGCCTTCACACTAGAGTTTACGGTATGTCAAATACAGGTGTGCTGCGCATCCATTGAGATGAACTGAAAAATATCACAGATCGCTTGATGGAGAGTGAAACTCTGAAGCGCTCAGTCAGAGTGTTCTGTGAGTGAAAATATATCTGTGCTAATCATATACTCAGCATCCAACTCACACACTGGAGAGTAAAATCTGAGAATTTATTAGCCATTGGCTAATATTAGACATCATTTAGTCGCCCAGAGTGAAGATTTAGTCGCATATGCGAGTGATTTACTCACAATGTAGAGGGTTGTAGTACATTGAAGAATGATCAAAAACTTTTTACATACGCCATGTGACCTGTAAATGCGAAAAAGCCATTTCCATTGCAGTTTTGCAAATTATTCCTTTTTCGCATTGCCTGAAAAACCACCTCATGCGAGCGTAAAAACTTTTTTGCGATATATGGGCGTTTTTGCAAAATTGACGCGTATTTTCAATTCACAATTTGCACAATTTGAAGGGTAATGGAAAAGCGCCTAATGACGCCTTTATCTCTGGAATATTCTCGAGAGGGTTTTACACACCAGTCAACAGCTGAGCCTACTTAATCGCACACCAATGTTCAACCTCACACTCTCCTCAGACAGAGAGCTGCAGCTGTAGTGAAGTGTTCGTCCTGTGCCACCTGTGTGGTCATGCAAATATAGTGCTTTATTCAGACGTCACTGTTCACACCCTCCAGTTAATCTGGAAACCAGAAGCAGACTGGTGCTTTCTGTGAGAGAGAATGACGTAATGACGTGAATCATTGATAGAGCAGGTACATGAGCTGACAATACTTCAGATCACATGCACAATTAAGTCATGACGCACAGTAGTTGTTTCCTATAAAGTGCATTTAGTGCCTGCCCACTTTTTCAACAGCCTTTGTTCCAGAAGTGTTCTTCCCATTAATTTTTCTTACCTCAGTTTAAGAGTTTAACCATCAACCAAACCAACCAACTATGAGGTGAATCACAACAATAGAAACTGTCATTGGAAGCAAAACAACAGAGAAAAAAAAAAAAGATAAAAGACTGTACTTAATAGTTTTATTGAGGGAAAGAACTACAATCCCATGAAGCATTGCAAATAACATGAATTGAAAATGATGGAGAATACAAAATCAAATATGCATACACTGATGCCCATTTTGATCCTGACTGGTGGAGATTTCTCTGCCGAATCATGGGTCATTTATTTTTTCATTAGTTGAACATGATTATTTAAAAAATAAAATTTAAATAATGCAGGCTGATGGCTTCAACATAAGCATACACCATCGATTAACAACCTCATAGCTCACAGCAGGTCTGTCTTTAGAGGAATGAAAATGAATGGGATTTTTACTCCCGGAGCCCGACTGTTGCACTATTAGTCCAATTGACATTTATTTAGAGTTACATTGGAAACCGTAACTCAATCTATTAAAACAACAGCAGACAAATTATATGAGACCCTGGACTACAAAACCCGTCATAAGGGTACATTCTTTCAAATTGAGATGTATACTGAACATCTGAAAGCTGAATAAATAAGCTTTCCATTGATTAGGTCCTGATCCTGTTAGGATAGGACAATATTTGGCTGAGATACAACTATTTGAAAATCTGGAATCTGAGGGTGCAAAAAAAATAAAATCTAAATATTGATAAAATCGGCTTTAAAGCTGTCCAAATGAGGTTCTTAGCAATGCATATTACTAATCAAAAATTAAGTTGATATATTTACAGTAGGGAATTTATCAAATATCTTCATGGAACATGATCTTTACTTAATATCCTAATGATCTTTGGCATAAAAGAAAAATCGATAATTTTGACCCAAACAATATATTGTTGGGTATTGCTACAAATATAACTGTGCGACGTAAGACTGGTTTTGTGGTCCAGGGTCACAAATTAAAAGTCAAGTACTTAGAGTTCACCAGGAACATCAGGTTTGTACTGCATCTTTACAGTAATGTGTGACTCCGACAGATAATACTCTAACTACACTTCACATGAGGAAAGTTATGTCAGACACGAGGTTAACTTCTCGCGTGTCCAGTTACAGTTTGGTAACCAATCGTTTCTAGTCAACGTGCAAGTTCACGTCATGCCTCAGTCCGCCCACAGAGACTTCAAACAGAAAGTTCCAAAAGTGAACCACTTATTATAGACGGTTTCAACGGCAACAACATAAACAAACGTGACTGCACATGGGCGCTTTTGTGGCCCTAACTTAACTTCCGGTAGACTTCCAAATAGAATCAATAACAACAGCTAAGTAGTCCCTCTAGATCAGGGGTGGGCAAACTTGGCCCTTCCAGGTCACTTTCCTTCAGAGTTTAGCTCCAACTCTAATCAAACACACCTGAACCAGCTAATCATTGTCTTCAAGACTACTAGAAAGCTACAGGCAGGTGAGTTTTATCAGGGTTGGATCAAATCTCTGCAGGAAAGTGGCCTGGAAGGGCCAAGTTTGCCCATCACTGCTCTAGATTATTTTTGTTAACAAGCAAAATATGTTTGCTGTGTAAATCAGACGGACTTACTGAAAATGCAAATTCATTCTCTGCCAGCAAGAGGTGCTTTAAACCGGGAGAAACAGAGGTTTCCCCAGTAACGGCTGTACAAACAGCAGCACTGAGCTCACAAACGCTGCTTTATCAGGCAGATAACATTCAAGATGAAATTAAAATGACATCGACAATTTTCTAAAGATAGTCTTCCTTCAGAAATACAGCGATATAAAAACACCCGTGCCTCGTTTTGATTTTTAAACG